TTTTCTATTTTTAAAAAATTCTGTATAGTTTTTTCCTTTTTTATTTTTAGAATTAAAAAAATTTGAAATCACTTTAAAATTATAACTTACCCATAATAATCCCACAAATATATGGGGTACAATATATTGTTCTGATAAATATAAATGCTGTATAGTGACCAAGTCAGAGTAATTACCATATTCATCACCTGAAATATTTTTTTGTGGTGTTAACATTCAAAATTTTTCCTTTCTTCTAGCTATCATGAGATATACATTTTATTATTGCTAATTGTAGTCAGCTGATTGTGTAACAAAACATCAGAGCTTATTCCTTATAATTATGGTATGTCCCCACAAAGTTGTAGTTCAGAGTTTGCAGCCTCAGTTGTTCGAGGATTTTTCCTCAGAACATAACTAATAATTGTTCACTAAGACTGCCTCAATTTCAGGGAAATCACAAACATCCTTTGCAGTTGTGTGTGTGTTTCTGGGAGGTTTGCAAATAGCTAATCTGAGAGGGTTATTCAGTTCTCTTTGCTGCTAATTGGTTGCTTCCTTGTAATCCATCTCCAGCAGACATACTAGCATTTCCACTTTATAACAGCATGTAGTTATCCCTACTGTTCTCAGTTTTGTTCTTCTTCGAGTCCTGAGATTCCTAAGATGTTGCAAAATGCCCTGCACCTCCTAAGACTTTATTACTGGAGTATTTTATTAAATTAAATTACATAACTGCAGGAGAATTACATAACTGCCCCATGAATTTCAGGGGTCTGCTATATAACTTTGTACTTTTTGAGCAACCTCTCTTTATTTCTCTCCATGTCCCCCAACTTTCCCCAGACTGTTTTGCTCTCTGCCTTTATGAAAACAGCTTGTCAGATTGCACACAAAAGTGAAATTATACTAATAATTTTTGTGTCTAGCTTATGTCACTTAATATAATGTTTCCCAGCTTCATCCATATTATCACAAAGGACAGGATTTGAATTTTCTTTATGATGATGTCTGACTGATATATATATATATATATATATATATATATATATATATGTATATATATATATGTCTTCATATATCTATCTATGTATCACATTTCATTTATTGATTCTTCTTTTGTGAATACTTAGGCTATTTCCAAGTTGTATGTGTATAAATATTCATAAATATTCATAGTGGTCTTTGATCCTTTGTATTTCTTTTTCTTTTTTTTTTAATTGGTACCAGGGATTGAACTCACAACCGCCTGCTTGCAAGGCAGGTGCTTATGCCACTGAGCTAAATCCCCAGCTCCTGATTCTTTGTATTTCTCTGATATCAGTTGTTACATCTTTTTTTTTTCATTTTTCCTACTGTGTCCTCTTTTTCTTAGTTTAGCTAAATGTTTATTGATTTTATATTTTCAAAAAAGCATTTATTTTTAAAAATTGTTTTAGTTTTTTTCTTTTAAAATATATTCATAGTGTTGTAATCTATGAACTAGAGGTTTACCAACTCATATACTCATTAGTTCTTAAAAATTAATATAATTGGTAAAGTTAATCAATCACACTTGCCAGAACTATGTGGGACTCTTCTTTAACTGAAATGAATGCATAATTAAAATACGTATGTTATTAGAGATAATATATTCAACTCATTGTAAAATATATATTATTAAGTTATGTTCAATTATTACATTATGCTTTCTTAATTTTATATATCTTTCATTAGGAACTGGAAAGATAACATTTTTTCTTTTGCCTATTATAATTTCAAGTTAATTACCATTGTACACGGTAATATGAAATACAGAATTTAACCCTTGATTTTTTCACTAGAAGCAATGTTTAATGTCATTCCTCTTCATAATGGAAAGTAGTTGTTTCTGTATGTTTACTTCTAAAAAGATAAACTGTTTGACCAATAATTTTGAAGTCAGAGTACATGTTAGAATTTACTCTTTCATTTTTCAATCTTAGAAACTTACTTCATTTTTGAAGAGTAATGTTGGCATATGAAAAAGATTAGATTATTTATTGTTAAATATTTTCCAAAAACCATATTTTCTTTGGAAATCTAGTTATAAAATTGCATCTCTGTAGGTGAGTACTCCATCAAAAATATTCAAGTTCTTAGCTTGAATGTAATTCAACAAAATGGGCCAATTCTATAATTCAGTTTTTAAAATATATCATCTAATGATTCAGATGTACAAAAAAGTGTGAAGGATGATATAATAGTAATAAAGCATATATTTCCTAAGCCAAAAACTAGCATTCTAACCAAATCTCCCTCTGTATTACTCTTCCCCCAGTAGTAATAATGCTTTTGAATTTGTTAATAGTAATTCTTACACATTTCTTCATACTTATTTACATATTTACATACATGAGTGACCCTATGTGACATGTAATTCTGTTTGATCGGAGTACAACAATGTATTGGACAGTATGAATTTCCCTAAAACTTGCTTTTTTTGCATTCAACAATAAGTTTTTGAGGCCACTTGATCAATTTCACTATTAGATAGCATAACTTTGCATGAGTATACAGGTTAAGCATCTTTATCCAAAATGCTTGAGACCAGAAATACTTCAGATTTTTTCCAGCTTTTGAAATATTTACAGATATCTAATGAATTATCTTGCAGATGGAACAAAAAGTCAAAATGCAAAATCAATTTATATTTTACACATAGCCTGAAGACATTTTATACAATATTTTTAGTGTACTTGCATTTCAATTTTGACCATCGCATGGAGTCACATGTGAAATTTTTCATTTATGGCGTCATGTTGATCTTCAAAACTGGATTCTGGTGGATTTTTGATTTTCACGTTAGACATGCTCAATTTTTATTACAACTTATTTACATTTACCTACTAATAGATACTTTGGTGTTTCAAATTCAGTCAGCATTTGAGACAATCTTTGCAGTTATCAGACACTGTAAATTCAGAACCTTCATATTCAACCAATGACTAAATGATCATGAATTTGTCTCTAAAAGTTAACATCCTAAAGCAAAATGTAGCACAGAAAAATATCTGTATTTGATACTCAAAATCATTGTTTAAAGATTCAAATGGATAACTAAACTATGAATATACAATTGCTCCCTTCCATCTAATGTTTAGACAGGCTGTTAGGGGCACTCACATACCACCTTCTCCAGGAAGCCTACTAAAAAGTTCAATAAGCAATGAGATCAGAATGTCTACAACTCCAAAATCCTTAAAGATTATAGATGGTCCATTACATTCGTCTTGTTTCCTTGGAGTACATGCATTTATATGCATGCTTCCACAAAGATTTTCACTGTCTTCCTGCTCAAACTATAAGATGCCTGAAGAGCTCAATTGTTTCTACAATTTGGGAGATGCTAGACCTCATGAAGATGACACATCTTTTCACCACCAATTCTTTTTCAGTTTCCTTTGCCTCTGCTTGTGGCAAGATACTTCCCAGATATAAACAGCATGTTTGCTGCCTGATTAAAAGGAGATGATCTGTGATGCATGATTTTGGGCAAAGTATAATTGCAAAGCTAGTTTTGTATTTTTAGGGCCTCTTTTGTGTGGAAAATTTCAAGGTTGACTCCAATATCATACTATCATCACTCTAGTTTGCTTTAAAAATCACATCATTACAGGCAGTATTTAAGTGAGTAGCCCTGTTAATGGACTAAATAAGCCTTTATTTAAGTGTAATCATAGACATATTAAGTTAAACATGCCTTTCATGCAAAATATGTCAAGAAGAATAAAACACACCATGCAGGAGACTTCTAACAATAAGCCACCCAGATCTTTTGTGCCTTTTTTTGTTTTTCTACGAATTAAACTTCTATTTAGATTTTCACTGAGTCTGGGCAGTTGTAAGAATGATGGTTCTTTTCTTGGTTCACACTTATTCCTTTTCTATGAATCTGTTTATGGAATTCATTGTTCTGTTTATGTGATTTTATGGCACTGATTATAGCATAGGCCTTTTTGTTTGCATGTGACAGAACTTTAATTCAAACAAATTTAAGTCAAAGTGGGATATATTGACTCATGGTATCTGATAAAGCCCTGAAGAATGAGCCAAAGCAGGTAAGGATTTCACTGGGGTTGCAGATTAGTGGCAGAGCAGCTGCCTCACATGAGTAGAACCCTGAATCTGTCCCTTAGCACCACAGAAAAACATAAACCAATCAATAGCAACAAAATTGCGAACAAAAATGAGTATGAAGATAGGTAGATTTCTAGTCTATCAAGAACTGAATAAAACCAGATTTTGCGATAAGGTGTGATCCAAAACTATGGTAAATGCTTAAATAAAAAATTGAAAAAAACTCATTATAGTAAAAACCATATTGCTGTTAATCACCCTCAAAATTATCTCCCTCACTTTGAATGCACTAATCCCATCATTTTTGCCACTTTCTGAGGTATTTCTGGAAGTCTGCTTCGTGGTATTTTGTGGCTGTCTTAAGGTCCTGAATGGATTAAAAATGTTTACAGAAATTTCTATCAAATAAAACCAGTATGATATATCTCCTCATTCACTGAATCTCATATCATGCAACTTTTGGTTCTTCTCCCAAAGTCAAAATGATTGTGAAAGGTAAATATTTTGAATCAACTCAAAACATTTGAGGCAGCCACAGAAAGACACAAAAGAAGACTTTCAGAACTGTTTCAGAAAGTAGCAAAAATAATGGGATAAGAATGTTTGTAGTGAAGGGGAGTATTTTGAGGGGATTAATGGCAATGTGTCTTAATGAAATAAATTCTAAAAATTTTGGACATTCACCATATTTTTTGATCACATCTTGTAGATCCACTTTTGTTTCTTCTCATTTGTGCTGTGGCAAGAAATATAGTAGAGAAAATAGCATGAGAAACTGCTGGGTTTTCATTCTACACATTTTTCTTAAAGTTAGAAAAGTCCCTAGAATATACTTTGATGAGGCTGGAATGAATCCATCAAATATAGTAAATGATAGGATCATGGAAAACATCTTGGTTGAAGCATGAAGGAGGTTCCATTACCTTAGGTGGAGGTAGTTGTTCTTAGAAGATATGCGAATGGAACCTCTAGTTTTAGTTTTCTGAAGAATCTCTATACTGATTTCCATAGTAGTTGTACCAACTTATACTCTTACCAACAGTAGAGAAGGATTCCTTTATCTTGGGTGAAAAACCTAAAGGATAAAGAGGAACAAAATAGAGGATAGATATTGAAGTAGGAAGAGCTTGTTCACATAGGAAGGGGAATGAGGGAAGGAGGAAGTAAGAAAAGGAAAAGGGATAAAAAAGAATGGAAGGAAAAATGGAAATGAAGTTTTAGTGAATGGAGAGGTGAGGAAGAGTTGAAGGGATGGAAAGGGAATGGGAAAAAAGAATTAAAATATACCATGTATAAGTACAAATTCTACACAATGAATGTGATCATTATGTATGGCAAACATATATAGATTTAAAAAAAATTGAGATGTGCTATGCATGGTATCAATTCCTCATGAGGAATGTAATCATCATGTAATTCAAACTTACTGATAAAAAATGAAGCCAACTAAAAAAAAGAAGGTAGGTGATTTTTGAGAAACCTGTTCCAACCATCCTTATTTTACATCTTGCCCACTTTCTTCTCTCAGAACTCTATGCTTTCCAATCTTGCCAACATTTTCCCTCTGCCTTTATAACTTGAGTCAAAACTTACAGTTTTTTTAAGCTAGTTTTTCTTTTCACAACCACAAGTCTATTTCTAAGTTTCCAAAAGTCCAATGTGAATTTTATTTCCTCTTTTCCAAAACTCAACTCATGTTTTCCAACTGTAACACTGCAACTCAATAATAATCAGTTCCTAACTATGTTAACATTTCTCCTAAACTAAAGCCAACTTCCTTTCTTAACTTCTTTATTTTCAGTAGTGATTGCATCATATTTCCACTCTACACTGAAATTGTTCTTGGTTCTTCCTTCTTTATCCACCACTATATCATGTCACTATTTAGTGTTTTTCCAATGCTGTCTCATATCCGTTTTAACTTCTCCAATCCCACCACCCCCATCCTGGACACAGTCTCCTTTTGTTCTAATTACAGTGTGAATGAATCAAACATTTTGCCTTCTCTTTTTTAAATTAATCTACACAAGGTTAGCACTTAAATCTTTATGAAATTTGCTCTGATCATGCCTGTTCCTTATTTTAAGAAGATTAATAAAAGCTTTAACTTATATATTTTTGTCTTGGCCATCAGACTCAGAGCCTTGTGCTTGTCAGGCAGAGCTACATCCCTGCCCCAAAAACATCTTAACTGTTAAATTTGGTGCCATAAACTGACTTTCATCTACATTTTATTCCTCTAAATCTTGGTCTGTGTCACTTACTTGAATTCTATTGAATGTGGTCACAGATTCTGTTTATAATAAGATTTTAAATACCTAATTAAATATAATTTCATTATTATTTAAATATTTCTATGTATGTACAATATTCATCAACTAAATTGAGGATTCTATACCAAACAAACATTTTTTATTGTCTGCATCACCTTAACGGCCTAACTGGAATTTGCTAATTCTATCTAATTGCAATTCTGCTGCTGCTATCTTTTGTTCATTCTTTAAAATACTTTCTTTGAGAAATATGTATCAATATAAAACTCAAAGGAGAAACTCATTAGGGATTTTTAATTAAGAAAAGTTTAAAAATCCTTACTTTGAAATACAGGAGTTTTGAATGGCTCTTCACCAGATAGCTTTCTCAATGTGGACTATGAGTCTTAGAGCAGTGACCCAGGCTGAGGGAAATGCATTCAAAGTCTAGGTCAGGAAGGCTAGTTGTCCTGTCATAGGGAGCATATAGAGAATATGTTAACGCAGGATACAAAGCCACAAATTCCTTAAAGAATTCAGTGTCAATTCTTTATTGAATTAAGGGTCTGGGTGATATTAGAGGTATAAGGGTTTGTGTTCTTTTTTAGACTTACTAGATGGGTAAATTATCAAAATAAGTACATTCTGAGGTCTAGTCAGCCTAGACATTCAATCAGGACTTCAAGAGAATTGCTTGTAGGTGTCCACATACCATACTACATCATTTCTGGTGTTCTTCAATTCTTCGTATAGGTCAAAGCTTCTATTTGGTGTAATTTCCCTGCTTCCAGGAAAAAAATTATTTAACATTTTATGTAGTATAAGTCTGCAGGCTGCAATCTTTTTAATATGTATATATCTACATAAAAATCTTTGTTGAATCTTCATCTGATGTTAAACCTTTAACTATTTTGTGGAAATAACCTCTTATCCTGGGTTTTCTTTTGGCAGGAGATTTTTGATTATTCATGCAGTTTCCTTATGAGTTATGTCTATTCAGATCTCTTTTGATATTGAGTCTTGTGTCCATTTCATTTTAGTTATTCAATATACTCATATTTATAATTCTTATTTCTGTAGAATCAATAGGAATGTTTTAATTTTTATTTCTGATGCTAGCAATTTGAATTTTTTCTTACTTTCTTAGTATATCAGCTAAAATTTCTCAATATTGTTGTATTTTCAAAGAATTATCTTTTGGTTTCATTGAATTTTCTCTATACCTTTTTTCTGTTCTCTAGTTTATTTATCTCTACTCAAATCTTCATTATTTTCCTTCTGTTAGCTTTGTTTTTTATTTTGTTTTTTCTTAGTTTTTGCAGTTGTAAAATTTAGTTGTTGATTTTAGACCTTTCTTGCTTTTAAATGTCTTTAAAGCTGTAATTTTCTTCCATCTGAGCTTTTTAAAAAATGTTTGTTTAAAAAATTTATTTTCTCAGTACCTACTAGTTATAAAGACTTTGGGAAATATACCATATACATTGATAGTTTTCATTGTCTTATTTCTTCTCTTCCTCTTCCATTCTTCCTCCCCCAATATCCTCCTTTTATCTAGTAATCTCTTTTTTACTTTCTGTCCTTTGAAATATACCGAAGCAATTCAAGGCTTAACATTTTGTCATATCTTCTGAAATGCTTTATGTACACTAGAGAATAACATATATACTATTGTTGGGTAGAATACTTTGTATATGTCTTGATGATATGGTTGATTTCTTGTGTTATGTGAGTCCTTTATCATTATTTATTGTTTATCTGGTTGTTCTATTCATTGTTAAGTGTGAGGAATTAAATTCTCCTACTATTAATATAAACCTATTCTCTCTAATTTTGTTTTTGTTTTCTATATTGTGATGGTCTATTATCAGGCTCATGAATGCTTATATTTTCTTTATTGCGTCTTTTATTAGCATATGATGTCTTTGACTCCTATAATTTGAAAATTTGCAGTCAATTTTATTTGTTATTATTATAATCATTCCAGCTGTCTTTTGTTAATATTTGTGTCTTTTTCCATCCTTTCACTTTCAATCTGTATGTCTTTGACTTTAAAATAGTGTCTTGTATATAATATATAAATTATGTGTTTTTATACATTCTACCAATGTCTGTCTTAGTTTCACCTGTTTAAATTTAAAGCAATTACTAATAAAAAGGACATCTATTGTTTTACTTTCTGTGTGACTTATGGCTTTTCCCCTCTTTAATACCTACATTACTATCTTTTGTATTTAGTCACAAGTTGTTTCGTGTTTTGTAATGAAGTCATTTCCTTTTGTGTACATTCTATATGTATTTTTTTATTTAAGGAGAAAAAGAAAAAAACAGAAAAAGGTTACACATAATACAAAATTTAAAAAATAAACAGTAAGAAATCACTAGTTAATAGATTACATATTCTCATCTTAGAAATAGTTGTTCAAGTTACAAAATTGAAGCATGTAAAGTGAACTTTCAAACAGTGAAAGTGCAAACAGTTTTGTTCAATGATTCAAAAAAACTCAGTAATATGGTTTTTATCTATCTTATACACTTAAACATGTATGCAGTTATAACCTTTAGAGCACTTTCTTTTTTTTTCTTTTGTAGAATGACAATTACACATTTTGGATTTTATTACTCCCACAGTTCTTATTACGTTTTTTTGAAGAGAGTAAAACCAAATGCGACGTATCAGAATAGAGTCAGTCAAATCAAAAGGATGGACCTAATAGATAATGTAAAAACAAAATACAAGGTGATCAACAATGTTTACCATACTGCCTCTTGCTATTTTATGAATTTCCAGTTATAATAAAATTGAACAAAACAGTAAAGAATAAAACCAAAACATTGGAGACTTTACAGGACTTTAAAAGAAGATAATAGTCAAGCTTTGAAAGATAATAATCTCCAGCCAAGATTGAGATATCCTGCACAACTGTCCCTGGAAATTGATGGAAAAACAAGGTGCTTTCAGGATAAAGAGGAACTGGGGGAATTTGCAACCACCAATTCAACCCTACAGAAAGTATTGCAGGATATTCTAAAAAAAGAAAAATACAAAGAACCCAGAAATGGTGGCGGGGAGGCCACAATGAATGGAGCAGAGAACAAAATGAAGAAGACAAACTGACAGCTACTGACAGAAAAAGAGCTCAACAGAAATGAGACAGAGAAGATTGGATGATAGGAACAGCTATTTTAGAGAAAATGACATCTTAATAGGTAATACTGATTTAGTATCATCTTGTTTTGAAGTCTCATCTAGCTTTTGTTCTTCTGTCTCCAATGGTCTAAACAGGTTGTATCTTATTGGATTTTATTATGTACGATAGTATAAGCAAAAACCTTTTAAAGACAAGGAGATTATACGAAACCATTGTTCATTTTCTGTTAGTCAATTCTAAATACTCTGTAATGCTGTCATTCTCTTAAATGGTTTTACATTGTTTTGATATACTTAATGCTACAGTATATGAAGTTGTACTCAAGGACTTCAAGGCAAGAGTCAATATGGTAACTACTTTTAGGTCGGAATTATCTGGTGGTGAAATACTATTCTGCTTAAATGGTTATGTTTTGATCTGCGCTGTTTTGCTGTTATGCCCTCTTTTTTCTCAATCTCCACTCCATTATTTACTCTTTTATTTTTAACCGTTTAATTAAAGGGAAAAAATAGCAGGATATAATATAGTAACCCACTTTGACTTTCTATTATCTTGATTTGAAGCCCTGTATTACTCTCACCATCTTGTTTTTGACTGATGTTCCCCTATTCTGTTTTGATGGATAGTATCAGGTTCGAAAGTTTAGGCATCAGCTGAGAAGATAATGAAATTCATTATAACGCCCATTCTCGTTGACTTTTATCTACTTTTGAAGACCTACAATGTCTCCAATGTTTTGGTTTTGTCGGTTTCGTTCTTTACTATTTTGTTCAATTGTATTATAACTAATGATATAGGCAATTCTATTAGAGATAGCGGGAGGCATTATGGTAACCATTGATGATCACCTTGTATTATGTTTTTATATTATCTATTATGTCCACCCTTTTGACTTGACCGATTCTGTCCTGTTATGTCTCATTTGGTTTTACTCTCTTCCTAAAAAGCAATAAGAACCATGGGAGCAATGAAACCCAAAATGTGTAATAGTCATTGTACAAAAGAGAGGAAAAGAAAGTGCTCTAAACTATATAACTGCATGTATATTTAAGTGTATAAGATAGAAAATGATATCACAGAGTTTTATTGGATCATTGAACAGAACTGTTTGCACTATCATTGTTGGAATGTCCACTCTACAAGCTTTAATTTTGTGACTTGAACAATTATTTTTAAGATGGCAATATGTAATCCATTAACTAGTGATTTCCTACTGTTCATTTTTTTCTTCTGTAAATCTGTATAACTTGTACCCTTTCACTTTTTTTCTTTCTTTTCTCCTTAAATAAAAAAAAAGAAGATAATAGTCAACCAGAATGGGCATCACAATGAATCTTATTGTCTTCACAGTTTTGCCTATACTTTTGAACTTGGTACTAACAAGCAAAGCAGAATAGGGGAAAATCAGTCAAAACAAGATGGTGAGGGCAATACAGGGTTTCAAATCAAGTTAATAGGAAATCAAAGTAGCTTACTATAATGTATCTTCCTATTTTTTATTTATTTTTCCCTTAATTAAAAAGATAAAAACAAAAAAGTAAATAATTAAAAAAGGGGGCTTGACATAAAAGAGGGCATAACAACAGAACAGCGCAGGTCAAAACATAACCATTTAAGCAAAATAGTGTTTTACCACAAGATATCCTGACATAAAAATAGTTACCATAGTGTCTCTTTCCTTGAAATCTTTGAGTATAACTTTGAATAATGTAGCACCAAACATATCAAAACACCATAAAACCATTCAAGAGAATGACATTATTACAGGGTATTTAGAACCAATTAACAGAAAATGAACAATGGTTTCTGTATAATCTCCTTGTCTATAAAAGTTTTTACTTGTATTATCATATATAATAAAATCCAATAAGATACAACCTTTTAAGACTGATGGAGACAGAAGAATACAAGTTTGATGGGACTTCAAAACAAGATGATACTAAATCAGCACTAGCTATTATGATGTTTTGTTTTCTCCAAAATTCCTATGATCCAATCTTCTTTGCCTCATTTCTGTTGAGGTCTTTTTCTGTCGTTTGTTGTCAGTTTGTCTTCTTCACTTAGCTTTCTGCTCCATTCATTGTGGCCTCCCTGCCACCATTTCTGGAATCTTGGTATTTTCCTTTTTTAGAATATCCTGCAATATTCTCTGTAGAGTTGAATTGGTGGTTGCAAATTCCCCTAGTTCCTCTTTATCTTGGAAGCGCCTTGTTTTTCCATCAATTTCTAGGGATAGTTGTGCAGGATATATCAATCTTGGCTGGAGGTTATTATCTTTCAAAGCTTGAATTATTTCCCCCCACACTTTTCATGATTTGATGGTTTGTGCCAAG